TCTCGCAATTTTTTCATTACAGTATCTGAGTCATATCAAAACTCATGTTCGTTGAATTTTTTCGCACACACCACGCGGCTTTGAATCAATTGAAATATAATTATATAATTTTGATATGAAAGCTACAAGGTTTTAAAAATGTTGCGCTCCGAGCTTAAAAGCTAGATTTTTTTACTAATGAAGGTCACTTCTCTGAAAAAGGATTTTGTGCTTCATTCATTAGCTTTGCACAAGAATAAAGAAAGTCTTGATTAATTCACAAAAATACGATTTGAGAGATACATAGTAAAATCTCGTCACAACGAAGCCACTGCAGATGAGGTCAGTAAAGTAGCTTCGTTGTAAATGAAAATACAATACGTTAAACTAAACCTCAAATAATTTTGTGGCTATTGGACAGGGGTGTAAAAACGAATTCGTTGTAATCCATTATTCTTAATACCGAGGTTCGTTGTAATGAGATTCAACGGTATTAAAAAACACCCCGCTTCAGCAAGACATGGAGATTTAAGTTAGTTTATCAACAAAACTTGGTACAATCTGTCGATCAGTTCGTGCGCTTGGTTTTCGCCGCATAAGTGTCTCAGCAACCAGGGTAGGAAAATTTCTTTCGGGCTCATTCTTTTCAAGGTCAATGGCATGAAAGGTCACCCGTCTTTCCCCCGTTTTTTCCAGTAAGATTTAAGTCTCCCTCTTTCTTCCATAAGCAGCAGCGTCTGCGAGATTTCCCAGCGGCCTCACCAGAGGAATGCTGCAGGTACCAAGAGTACATTCACACAGAGAGCGGGGTTCATCAGCAAATACCCTGAAGATAAAAATCAATGCTCATGAATCCTAGTAAAAAAAAAAAAAAACTTTGAGCGATTTATGCGGAGACAAGGGATGATGTTCCTTTCGAACAAACTCGCAGGTTTTTTTTTCTGTCGAGAATCTCATGCTTTTTCATTCGCCAATAAATTAAGACTGAAGCAGCAGAAATAGATTCTCGTGCAAATTTTTTATAAAATCCCACAGTTCATGATACGCATACTTCAGATTCCAAAAGTCAGTCACAATCTCTAAAAAAAAAAGTAATATTCGAGTCGAGGATTTCTCTTGCTAATTTTCACGATCAACGTAAAAAAATCTTGAAGTCCGCCTATGTCAGCAATGATCACACTAAAATAATCTATTTCCGACTTGATTTTTTCTAGTTGTAAAAAATGTAAATGGGGATGCCCGAAAATGATAATTGGACAAATTTTCTGAGGCCTCTTCGAAAAAAAAACCAATTCGTTTCTAAAAAATCTTCAGGACTCAAGTTCATGGGGAAAAACCCAGACAATAATGCATATTATTTTCTTTTTTGAATCCTTCCATTCCAACCAAGTTCAAATATTTTCCGGTACTCGAAACCCACCGCAAAGTTTTTCGTCCGCTTCATACTTTTGTGTATATTCGTCACTTATTTTGCCCCAGTTCGATCTGCGGAATTTATCCCTGAAAAAAAAATATATGGCAAGGAATACATCCTACCCCGGAAACTCATGGGAAAACCCTAGGGAGTTCAGCAGGGAAGTTTCCGATGGATCCCGGGAAGCTTTTCCTTGAACTCTGCTCTTTAAAGGGGGCCGAGTGGGGATCCAAAAGAGACACAAGAGTTTCTCAGGGGTACTCCGGCACCCTTATTAGCCCATGGTGTGCGATAGTGATGCATTCGTGTCTTGCAAGCGGTTAATTGACTACTTGGACACTGGCATAAGTCTTGCCGAGTGCTGGCTCACAAAGACCTTCTGGACTTTTCATACGAAAACGAGTAATTTTCCGTTCTGCAAGCTCATGCGGAAAATGATGAAGTGATGCCCCGAGATGCGGACTTAATCGGTGCTTGGACCTTGCGGAGCGTCCAGAAGTCAGATCATGCTTTCCCATATAGGACTTCAATATTGAAAAATATTTAATTGGTTCATTTGTTCATCAAAAATTAGGATTAGAACGAGTACGTCACCAAAAGAATTGAATATAATCATTTTTCTCAACCTCAAGATACAGAACGAATAACTGTGCAGAATAAAATGATTCATAATTTGATATTTTTGCATCAGAAGTATAGTTCAAGACGCAAAAAATGAGAAGAAGTCTTTCGCTCAACAAGGAAAAACTCAAAAACATTAAGCTCAAAATTAGTCTGTCTTTGGTCAAGGATTGGAGTAATTTCAGAATGACCATATTTTTAATTTATTGTGGATATAAAGATATAATTTTGTTCAAGAGATATAAACATTAAAAAAACAATTTTTGCTCTATTTTTCTAGAAATATGTTGGAAAAATGTCCAAATATCTTGAGACATTGTCAATATGTCGTGGCGAATTTAAATGCCCCTAATTTTAATTGCCCGCGTGTCGGGGTCAAAATGTACTTCATTTTTAAGCTCGCGACTCGCGAGAAAGTTGTTAAACAATTCCTTTCCGCCGGAAACAATTTAAAGTTAGTAAACGGGCCAATATTCTTCTTTCACACCTTTTAATAATTTCTAAGATACTAAAAATATAAAAATTTATAAAAGACTGGGGAAAATCACTAGTAATTCAAATTCAATCACCTTTGAGGAGAATCTAGTGCATGAAAAAAGTGATCTGTGTCGAAATTTTCTAAAAATGAATGTCTGATTACATAATTTCACGTTACAACGGATTTTTTTGTTCAGTCGATTTTTATGTTCCCTGAACGTTTTTTAAATCATAATATTTCATCTGAATTCGAGATTTTACTTTTTATTTTTGCGGTAATACTCTACGAAATTTTTTTTTAAAGGGCAAAGGACAAAATGCGAATGCGTCAAATTTTAATCAGGAAGCCGAATGGCTTCTGCACAACTGCGCGCACGTTCATCTGGTGCCGAAGTTCTCAAAACTTGAACGGTTTTCGAGCTTATGGAAGTCAGCCAACGTCACTCGGGAATTTCGGGGATGCTGTGGGTAAGAAAATTTGCATACTCACATTTAAAATCCACCTCGTGAGCGATGAGGTCGATGAGGTCTTTGCAGTAGCCTTCGTATCGATCGTTGCCTTCAAGTACCTCTCCGTCTTCGGGCTTCTTCAGCATGAGGTATGGCTCCGTCTGCATAAACATGTCCCCCCGTTAGCGGTTCATCAGGAATGCTGCATGAATAATTCAAAATCTCTCCTACCCTCCACCCCCACTTCTTTTAAGCAATATTTTTTCGTGTTTCAGGCTTATGAAATTACCAGTTTTCCTCAAGACAAAGTATTGTTAGGGAAGAACTTACCTTAACATAAATATGTTGAATTTTGCAAGTGGATCAATAAATTGATAAAGTCAAGTTTGAAGATGTTGAAATAAAAAACAGAATAAGCCTGGGACAAGACCGGGGAACCCTCTTTTGGTTTCCCTAATTTAAATTAGAAATATATTTCGAATTTCTGTCCCAGAGAAGTTTGATACACAATATTATGTTTTTGAACAACACAACACTCAACAGAACTCCACAGAATTTCGTAGATTTCACGATGTGCACACTCCAAAAGTTCCATAGCTAGTGAAGTGTGGTCTTTGGTGAATTTGGGAGCAGCGGAAATCAGAACTCGTTTCTCATTGATCTTTGGAGCTACATGGTTCTCCTTGAGAAGTGGTTTTTCTTCCCTTTGAGGGTTAGTAGTTTGTTATCTGATTTTGTGTTTTTTTTATAATTTCATTTTACTACTATTTCGGCGTGCGCGTGCGGTTCCCCAACAAGTATGAAGCAAGCAGCACAATTTTCAAAGGCGCCTTCTTCGATCCCCCCCAAAAAATCAGAAAAAAAACTGTACTGAAATAATTATTGTAATCACAGAATGCGTCCAGTATTCGAGGTAATGTTACAAATTCGTTTTCCAAAGACGGAACAAACCGTTTCCAAAGATATAAATAGGAAATGATCAATTTTTGAACAGTTACAAACCCGCAAACCATTACGCGAAAGTGAGATGAAGATTCTGAGTCCGCGGGAATTTATTACTGCTGGGGTAAAATTTGCAGGGTAAATCGAAAATCTTCATCTATATTCATGCAAACGACTCATCGTCATATTTTTTAAATTGCAAAATATTCTTTTGTTTATTCGGGTTATTGTTCTTTTTTGTCTTTTAACGGATTTGAAATCCATAATTCTTGGTCCGAAAGGTCTTGCGTGAAAATGAAAAATTTCAGTCGTAATTCATAGCGATTAAATTGCTCCAGATTTGAAAGATAAACGGGTTCTGAAAAATCTGATACCATCAGCGCCGTGAAAATGTGAGCCACGAAATCATCCGAATTTTTCCGCATATTCTTGTCATATGAATCAAAAGTTGTGGCTTTGAATTTTGCACCACATCAGATGTAGTCGAACACATCCCAAAACTTTTCGTATGAATGAAAAATTGATGTGGAAACGTCCATGCTCAAAATCAGCAGGATTTTAGTTTTTCTTTTTGGCATCCACACACTCCTTTTTTTTTTTAGATCACGCCCGGAAAGATGTCATCCTATAGAAAACCTTGTCCCCGTATAAAACATATTATAAGCTGAATTTTCCTTTTTCGCGAATCTAAAAACTTTTCGGTCACGAAACAAGGCCTTGCTTTTCAAGAGTAGCTGTGAAAATGCTTCTTTGGGATGACGTTTTACGAGACAAATCACAAATATTTCTTTCTCAGGGGATGAGGATGAGGATAAAAATTTCGTCTTCTTTCTCCGACGACGCCACTTCCAGTAAAAGCGCTGGGAAATTTATGAAACGCGTCTCCCGGATTTCTACGGGCTTTGTTATCGTGCCAAAATTTACGACTTTTTTCTTCCTCTCGCTCGTATTGCTACAGTGCTAATGACATTGCGGGTCGGGATGGATGGACGAAGGATGCCGTTTAGGCAAGGATGGCATGCGACGAAATAAATTCCTCGGGTGATGCCGCGAGTAATGATGACAAATCGGTCGACGGCGTGAAATATGAGCTGGTTTCCCCTCGGGCGGCTCTCCGTCGACGACCTCGTTTACTCTGTCTTCTTCGAAGCAGTGTGACCGAATTGTTCCCCACCAAGTGTCCGGCATTGCTTACATTTTTGCCTATAAGGAAATTTTTTAGGCGTGATCCAAAAAAAAAAAAAAAAACGTTTTGATGCCAAAAAGTCGGGCACGCGCTTGCTACTTTTGGGAATGGACGGTGCACCAAAATGTTGCATTGGTGCAGGAAGTATTAGAAATATGAGTTAAACTCCGCGTGAGTTTCCACAAAATGCAGTAACCTGCATTTTGAGATAGTGTCTTAATGGAATATTAGAAAACAACCGGATGATTACGTGGCTCATAATTTGCCTCAATTTCGGCTTACGGTCTCTTTTTCTTCTGAATATCTTACGCGTTGCTATTACAAGACGATGAAGAGCATTTCCGATGAAATTTTTTACAGGGTTAAAGAAAACTCTTTAAATTTTGGGTCAATTGAACAGTTAATTCAAGCAGGGATAAACGAGGAAACAGGTCCTGGTTCGAAGGAACACATTTATATTGCTTGAATTATTTAATTCTTCGAAAATCTTTTCGAACAAAGATGCTTGGCAAAACTACTTGGATAGGGTATGCAATATTGTACTTTTCTTGGGAATCATTTCACAGTTCCCTTGATTTTACTCAAATACCGAGTAAATATAAAAGTTGGATGAAGCGCAATAAAGGAGGCAATTAAACAAGAACGCTTCTACTAATTTCTTTCTTCACTAATTTCTTCCTTTTCTTCATATTTTTGGAAAAAAAAAATTGAATCAAGATTTTCAGTAAAATTATCAGAAAACTGAAAATGCGTTGCACCTACCTGAAAATCTGAAATTTGGTACATATAGTATCGAAAAATATTTGAGTGAAGTGCTGGCCGGTCTCATTTTTCTTAATCCAGCGATTTCATCGTGATTATTCTTCCCAAATAATACACACGGATGTGTAGAATCCTCAATGATACAATAAACATTACTCTCAGTCGTGGATATACTGTACCATAGAACAAGATGATGAGTAAGGGTAGGATTTCTCCTAGAGAGAATCCCCGCTATTTCCTTATGCATGACGTACGCATCAACGCATTCATTAATAATAGCCCATGGATTTTGATGTTAAAAAAAAAGAGTACTGCTGTTGAAAAATCATGCGATGAAGCCGTCCTTCGTGAAGCGGCTTTTTTAAAAACGAGATTGATCCCGAGCTGAGCGACCCCGCGCTGGCAGCACACACAATATAATCTCATCATACACAAACTGCACAGAAGAAAGGAGAGAAGACCTAGTCATGAAAAGTATGCTGTGAAGCCCGGAAAGCAAGCGATCATGGCTCATATTTCCCCGTCGTTTGACGGTGCTCACCCAAGACCTTCCTCCGCCTTTTGTCCGCTCCCGAGATGATCCCTGGCAATATTCCCTTATTTCGCGTCGGCTCCTGGGTTCAGCGAAAACGCGAGTAATAAACTCAGTCGGCGGTGTAATGAACCCGCCTTTTCTGGGCGAAAAGGGGATCAGTGCGCCGCCCTCTTTGAGGTCTCATATTGCCTGTGCTCTGTCACTGTAAACCCTTTCCTCCTCCTCCGCCCCCCCCCTCCTCCTGGTTTTTACGTGACCGCCCAACAGAGCGCCGTTCCAAATGACCGCCAGTACAAATCGAGGGTCAGGAGAAACTATGAGCGTCGTACCAAACTGAATTGGCTCAGTGGGCGTAATGTGTCCCAGCAGCATCTATTGCGATGCACAAGCCACAAAGTTAAATACAGTCACAACTCTCCAGCAAGTCAAATTTCAAGAGACCAGAAAAGAAATTGAGTTCTGGAGGTTTCAAGTCGGGAAAAGGGCATTTTTGTTGCGCGAAAAATTAAAAAAAAATTGCAGGAAATTGTAAATGGTCTTATTTTGGGCCATAAATTGCTTTTTAAATGAGCTGACAGGATACAGAACTTGGAGGCAGGGTTCACTTGTCCTACTAGTCTTTCAATTCCTTTCAAAACACATAAAGTTACTTTTTATTGCTTTTATCTTTCACGTGTCAAGAAAATAATAGGCAAAAGGTCTCCAAAATTTTGAGTTTTGGAGGTTTGAGAGGAAAAGCCTTGAAGTTAGAGAGACTTCCAATGCATTGTTTCTAAGGAAATCAACACAGGGACTTCAAAAAAGAGATAGATACAGTATAGAGAGGTATTTGATTGAGAGGAAGTTCAAGTTTACCAAAATTCAACTGTGGATCATGAAAATGAAACTCAAAACACGGTCCAATAGGGAGCACATCAGAAATCTTCTTGGCCTAGGAGATTCAGAAAAAAAGATGAGAATATTTGAAAAGGAAAAAAGTTGATGAAAATTACCAGCTAATTCCTGACTTTCAGCAAAACAAAGATTTCACACACCGAGCACAAGTCAATCAATTATTATACCCCAATAAAAATCTCATTTTAGTCTTTCATATAGAATCACGTGTTTAAGACCGATAGACCAGGGGAAATAATATTGTGATGGAGACACGGAAACGGTTTGACAGCTTTTGCTAACGGTGCTTTAAAAGATACAAAATCATTGCAAAATGGGTTTATTTTCGTGAAATGAGAAGTCAAAGGGCTGACTTTTCGATTCCCCTATAGCTAGGCTTCATAATTTCCCAGTAACTTCGATGAAAATAATAATTCTGGGATGAAAGCTTATTCGAGTTATACTGTACAGTAGAAGAGACGAGGAATTTATTATTATTTCACGAAGGATATCACGTTTCAATGAATGTCGTAGTTATTTCACATTGCTTATCGAATGTGGCAATTATTCAGGTAATCACTACTGCTGATCCAGCTGCAGTTTTTGGATGAACTATACGCTCAATTCGCCAGTAGAATTCGTTAAGCCTCCGAAGGAAGCTTCCACGAAATTGAAAGAAATGTATTTTAAATGTAATGTATTTTTAAATGAATTCTTCATATTAGGTCAAAGCCCGATCTCTAAAACTATTAGATCCATGATTTTTTTAAATCTTAGGCGTAGAGGGAAAAAAAAATTCTAATGGTCATGATCACATTTATTTGGTACTATACAGAGACTTTGATAATATTCAATGAACATCACGGTGATGGTGTCGTCGTCATTGTCGATGGTGTCCACGATTGTTCATCTGGCTTATTCTATTTCATGATGTAATGAATGACATGCTTTGGTTGAGCGGTGCTGAGATGCCCCCAATGGACTATTTCTGTCCACAGGACTCGTCTTGATGTCCGCGTCTTGTCGTTAGCTGGCTGCAATATGCTTTCGCAATAGACTATAGTGGCAAGTTTATTTCTTTCATGTAAATGCAGGATTTGTTGGATATTGTCGCACGCTTGCTGGAGGCTGCTGTAATTTATTAACAAATGAAGGAGGACTATAGTGATAGACAATTCTATTGGCCTTGGATCATCTCTGAAAATACTCCAACTCCTGATATCCTCAAAAAAAAAAAGGAAGAACAAGTCGACCATACATTCATCATATTTATCATAAATTTCCCTTCTCTAGTAGCTGTTGTATATGATTTAAATGCTCATTGATTCAAATTCTCGAAGCATGTCAGAATTGAATTACAGTACAGTAGTCTTTTCAAGGGTACTATATTGTGTCATCGGGTAATCCAAATCACCGCACGATGCAATGACAGCATTCTAACATTGTTCTTCATTTTTTTTGGAAAGGATCTTTCAGTCAATTATCGTTATAGTAAATGAGGTAAAAACTTGAGGAAATCATTAAAATATGACGGTTGTCATCCGTTGTCAATTTTACGCTTCCGGTATTAAAATACTTTCACCACGTATGGGTGATGTACGTCATTTTTGCAGACGAAAACGTGTTCACGATCTCAACACTGCTCCAGGGTTGAATTAATCAAATTCAGCACCAAACAAAAGATGGTGGAAATACAGTACTTTAATTCCGTCATTGGAATTGAATCAGTTTGATCGAGCATCCGTAATTTTGTTTTCATATTTTTCGAAATAGTTATGGGTTCTACAATAATGCGAAAACTAAGAAATTTCAGTGACGATGTCTTAGCTTTTAAACCATATTCCAATAATTATTTTGAAATGTTCAAATGTTGTAAAATTGCATTATGACTGAATTTAAACGTTCCTTTGCTGTGTTTATGGATACAAAAATAATTTGCTGAGATTTATTCAGTTCCATTATACAGTACTGTATTGGAAATCCTTGTCGATTGAAGAAGAGCTAAATTCGTTCCTTTCATTAAAGTTGGCATGAATCTGTCTCAGAAAATGAACCAACATGAGAACTCGAATTCAAAGTCGAAGAAACTTTCGAAGGAAATACGGGTACTTGAATCATGTGGACAAATTTTTAATTCATTTATTGTACCGTTCACAGGTGTAATTTATCAAAGAGGGGTACACGAGGTAATATCGGAAGATTTTCCACCTCTGCTTGGACAAATGAAAAACAAATGCTGTACCTGCGATTTTCGGTCCTAAATAATCTTCATTGGTGCATATTTTGACAGATCAACCAATTCATCGAGGGCCGTGTGCAGAAATCGAACGGGAAATGCACAAACCGAAACAACCAGTGTTTTCTCGTGAACTACTCAAATACAAAATTCTACTTCTTGAATTTCCCAGAAAAAAAAAGCTAAAGTTGCATTCATCCTTCAGCCGAATCGTGTGAATGCAGCATTGCCCATCGATAAAAATGCGCAAATGTCCTCAAGACAGACAGACAGACAGTCAGAGAGTGAGAGAGAGTGAGAAAAAGAGGGGGATCCCTCACCCCCCCNAGAGAGGCTCTCAATGCATTTTTTCTAAGGGAATCCACACAGGGACTTGAAAAAAGAGATAGATACAGTATAGAGAGGTATTTGATTGAGAGGAAGTTCAAGTTTACCAAAATTCAACTGTGGATCATGAAAATGAAACTCAAAACACGGTCCAATAGGGAGCACATCAGAAATCTTCTTGGCCTAGGAGATTCAGAAAAAAAGATGAGAATATTTGAAAAGGGAAAAAGTTGATGAAAATGACCAGCTAATTCCTGAGTTTCAGCATAACAGAGATTTCACACACCGAGCACAAGTCAATCAATTATTATGCCCCAATAAAAATCTCATTTTAGTCTTTCATATAGAATCACGTGTTTAAGACCGATAGACCAGGGGAAATAATATTGTGATGGAGACACGGAAACGGTTTGACAGCTTTTGCTCACGGTTCTTTAAAAGATAAAAAATCATTGCAAAATGGGTTTATTTTCGTGAAATGAGAAGTCAAAGGGCCGACTTTTCGATTCCCCTATAGCTAGGCTTCATGATATCCCAGTAACTTCGATGAAAATAATCATTCTGGGATGAAAGATTATTCGAGTATACAGTAGAAGAGACGAGGAATTTATTATTATTTCACAAAGTATATCGCGTTTCAATGAATGTTATTTCACATTGCTTATCGAATATGGCAATTATTCAGGTAATCACTACTGCTGATACAGTAGTGGTTTTTGGATGAACTATATGCGCAATTCGCCAGTAGAATTCGTTAAGCCTCCGAAGGAAGCTTCCACGAAATTGAAAGAAATGCATTTTAAAATTAATATTTATTTCTGAATTCTTCATATTAGTTCAACGCCCGATCTCTAAAACTATTAGATCCATGATTTTTTTATATTTTAGGTGTAGAAGGAAAAACAATTCTAATGGTCATGATCACATTTATTTGGTACTATACAGAGACTTTGATAATATTCAATGAACATCACGGTGATGGTGTCGTCGTCATTGTCGATGGTGTCCACGATTGTTCATCAGGCTTATTCTATTTCATGATGTAATGAATGACATGCTTTGGTTGAGCGGTGCTGAGATGCCCCCAATGGACTATTTCTGTCCACAGGACTCGTCTTGATGTCCGCGCCTTGTCGTTAGCTGGCTGCAATATGCTATTGCAATAGACTATAGTGGCAAGTTTATTTCTTTCATGTAAATGGATGATTTTTTAGATATTGTCGCGCGCTTGCTGGAGGCTGCTGTAATTTATTAACAAATGAAGGAGGACTATAGTGATAGACAATTCTATTGGCCTTGGATCATCTCTGAAAATACTCCAACTCCTGATATCCTCACAAAAAAAAGGAAGAACAAGTCGACCATACATTCATCATATTTATCATAAATTTCCCTTCTCTATTAGCTGTTGTATATGATTTAAATGCTCATTGATTCAAATTCTCGAAGCATGTCAGAATTCAATTAGAGTACAGTAGTCTTTTCAAGGGTACTATATTGTGTCATCGGGTAATCCAAATCACCGCACGATGCAATGACAGCATTCTAACATTGTTCTTCAATTTTTTTGGAAAGGATCTTTCAGTCAATTATCGTTATAGTAAACGAGGTAAAACTTGAGGAAATCATTAAGATATTATGGTTGTCACCCGTTGTCAATTTTACGCTTCCGGTACTAAAATACTTTCACCACGTATGTACGTCATTTTTGCAGACGAAAACGTGTTCACGATCTCAACACTGCTCCAGGGTTGAATTAATCAAATTCAGCACCAAACAGAAGAGGGTGGAAATATTTTAATTCCGTCATTGGAATTGAATCAGTTTGATCGAGCATCCGTAATTTTGTTTTCATATTTTTCGAAATAGTTATGGGTTCTACAATAATGCGAAAACGAAGAAATTTCAGTGACGATGTCTTAGCTTTTAAACCATATTCCAATAATTATTTTGAAATGTTCAAATGTTGTAAAATTGCATTAGTGCTGAATTTAAACGTTCCTTTGCTGTGTTTATGGATACAAAAATAATTTGCTGAGATTTATTCAGTTCCATTATACAGTACTGTATTAGAAATCCTTGTCGATTGAAGAAGAGCTAAATTTATTCCTTTCATTAAAGTTGGCATGAATCTGTCGCAGAAAATGAACCAACATGAGAACTCGAATTCAATGTCGAAGAAACTTTCGAAGGAAATACGGGTACTTGAATCATGTGGACAAATTTTTAATTCATTTATTGTACCGTTCACAGGTGTAATTTATCAAAGAGGGGTACACGAGGTAATATCAGAAGATTTTCCACGTCTGCATGGACAAATGAAAAACAAATAATGTACTGTACCTGCGATTTTCGGTCCTAAATAATCTTCATTGCTGCATATCTTGACATATCAACCAATTTATTGACCAATGGGGGTCATGTGCAGAAATCGAACGGGAAATGCACAAACCAAAACAACCAGTGTTTTCTCGTGAACTACTCAAAAATAAAATTTTCTACTTCTTGAATTTCTCAGGAAAAAAAAACTAGAGTTGAATTCATCCTTCAGCCGAATCGTCTGAATGCAGCATTGCCTATATGCCTATCGATAAAAATGCGCAAATATCCTCAAGACAGACAGAGAGAGAGTGAGAGAAAAAGGGGGGGATCCCTCACCCACCCCCCCCCCCCCCCGAAGGAACGAGAGGCGAAGAAGCATCAGTCGGGGATCCACTCCTCTCCAGGGATTTTGAGATTTTAATTTTGCCAGTGCATGCATGACGGCGCCCCGGCGGCGCCTAAAATGAAGCAAGGTGTGCGACGCATCGTCATCGTCGATCGCGTTATCTCGTTATTCCGCTGGGTCTCTTCCATGAGAGAGAGAGAGAGAGAGTCGGCCGTCGCCGCGAAAATTGCGTTTCCGCCCCAGTTGCGACGCGCGTTTCGTGTCCGCTCATTCGTCTCACTTCATCCCCGCATCTTTTCTCCGGCTACTATATTTTATATTTTATTTTTTTATTTTTCGCCTGCTGGCACAAATTTTGCCCCAGGGATCCCGTCCGAAAACGAAGCGCTGTAGTGTCGAGAAGAAAGCTGCGGAAAAATAACGACCGAGAAGTTTTTCGACCGAGGTTTCGCTGCCACGTGGCATTGGAAAGCAATGGAGAAAATCCGGAACTCCAGGAGAATTCTTCGGCGCGTTTTGTTTTTCGTTATTTCGCTTGCGATCGAAATGTACATTTCTGCGTATTCACGCATTCATAAATACCACACACAACAGCATGTGGTCAAATTTTTTAAAATACTTTTTTAGAATTCAGCAGAAAAGTGGCTATACTCACAGCAAAAACCTTCGAATTTGTTAATTGGAAAAAAATGGTGGGAATGAGGTGCGTTTTTAGGACCGAATGATTCTCCAAAATCTCAGAATTGCTGCATTACTCGTTCCGGTCGGAAAGTTGGTGAATGTCGAAGAAACAGTTTTATTTCTTCTGGATTATCTCAGGGTTAGGTTTGAGACTGCGGTGTGGCCCATGTTGAGTTTCATAAATATTGGTAGCGAGGCTTGGGGAATTTTCAAAACAATTTATCAGAAAATGAAATGAGTTTCAGCAGCAATTACAGTATACATGGGATAATTGTGACTCGAGTTGAAAAATTGCTGCCTATTTCTTGGCCAAAAATCTAGGCTAACAGAAGAATTGATCAAGGATTTGTCATTTATTCAGGTTTTAAAATTGATGCAACATGTTGGAATCTAAAAATCCACAAAGATAAAACTAATGGAAAACAAACCTTACCAAAATTGAGGTGACAATGTAGATTTTATCAGCAGCTAATGTGTTGTTTGCCTGAACTTTCTTGTACTTGGCAGGAACTGCTGTGAACCCAACGCCATCTTTCCATCCACCAATCTGCAAAAAAAAGGCTTGTTAATAATAAAAGAAAACTGTAAACCTCTCCTTCCATGATTCCATCGATAAAAGAATTAGATTATTTCCAAATTCTTCTGTATTCAATACCGTGCAAATATAATTTCAATTAGCTTTAAAATTGTCCAAAATTTATTAAAATCGAACATACTGTATTGAGTTTACGAATTTTGTCCGCTTTTAAATCATTTCATTTTTCGGGCATGTTCAATCTTTGGTTTGAACTAACTCATTAAAAATAATTTTAAAGCTTGAACGTGCCTTGTTTTCTTTTCCCAAAAGCACGATGGAGAATCCTTTAAATGATGCATGTTGGCGAAGGAACTCGACAAATTCAAATAAAAGAACTGGGGATGAGGCAGGGTTATTTTCGAGTAAAATTTGCATACCAGACGGCAAAGCATTTCTCTAGGATATCTCAGCCCCACGTGTATTTGAGCAAATAGCGGAAGAAATTAGCAATCTTATTTATGCGATACGAAGATTCGCTCCAGGATCTGAACGTCTTCTGAAATTCTAACGGCATGCAATTTAGGATCCAACGTTTTTATTGGGTTTTCTTTCCATTTGTTTGCCCTCTTTGCGGGGAAATATGGTATACGATGAGACATATTTTAAGTTTGCTTATACCTTTGGTAGAGAAAAATTTCCTCCAATCACTGGTTCAATATTCGGCAAAAAAAAAGGCTGATGTTATATTTCCTGGAACCCATTGAATTTAAAGCCTTCCAAAAATGTCCCCGTTTTACATTTTTGATGCAAACGGAGTGGCAGTGAAGCCGATGCTTAAATGAATATCCTTCATTCGCAGGATATTCAAGAGATTATTTTTGCACATATTAAGTAGCTCGTTCGATGTTTAAAACTACTGTATTTATGCATGCATATCAGTATATTTTCCTTGAGAAATAAGTCTTACCTTGACTGTTTCGCTGTGCATGGTCATTTCCACCACATCTACGCCAAACTCACGACGTTTTCCAACATCATCAAACAGGATGTGTCCAGTCAAACCATCCATTTCAACCTGCCACAAATATAATGATTTACAGAATCATGACAAACAATGATATCAGAAATGAGTCAAAATTTGTCCGCACTCATGCATCCCTCGTAAAAAATTATCTTCTTCCATGAACATGTTTTTCTGTGCCAAGAGTTAACTGGCGATTCTTTTTCAAATTGGTATCATTGTAAATGTGAAAAAGGGGGAAATAGATGGGATAGTAATAGAACATGGAACGTGTGTTGAACGCTCTGGATATATGGGATGCATTGCTGCGTGAAATCATCGAGGAATGCAATTAATCGAAAAAACTGCAAAAATGAAGAAAGAAAAACTGTTAGCAAAAGAAAAAATTCCTTGGGAACTTGTTTGCTTGAAATTCGTCTTCATCATAGAGAAAAATTATTAATTTCAACTCATCGAATGCTCGAAAATGAGATATAAGGCGTAACGTCATTGCATAAATGTTGACTGGGTCAAAAAATTATAGCTGATAATATTCACAATTCTAAATTATTTACGAGCCTTCATTGTGAAGAAACCGAGAAAGGCGATAATTGTTTATTTTATTTACTAAAGAATGATTCTTCAGAAGCAAGCTTCGATTTTTGAACGTTTAGCGACATCTACTCATATCAACAAAGTCGTCGAGAGAGATGCATGACGCTCGGATAGAGAAGATGGTTCCTCCCAACACAAGAAGCGACC